CTGTCCCACGCAGGCGCGCGGGCGAGGAGGTCGCGCGCGTGCAGCAGCACGCGGACGAGGAGGCCGTCCAGGCCATGATGGACGACTTCGCCGAGTTCGACGACTTCGAGTTCGAGCAGCAGCAGGAGGAGGAGCGCACGGTCGAGCAGCCGCCGCGTTCCTCCTCTCGTCGGCGCAGTTCCTGCAGATCACGAACAACGGGAAGAAGACGAAGGACAAGTTCACGGCGGCCGACAAAAGGCGCGTCGGCAGCACCCTCAAAGCCTACGCGGAGCTGGCCTTGAAGGACCCGACGAAGGAGTTCCCGGACGAGACGAAGAACCTCGACTTCGACACGCTCAAGGGCATCGCTTCGTCCTGCTACCACCTCGCGCCGCTCGCCGGCGCCGACAAGGCCAAGTTCGCCGACGTCGGCTACCAGTGCTCCTGTGCGACCGACCCGTGTCTTTTTTTTTCGCGTACACGACGAACAACCCAGCCATAGGCCCGCAATTTTGGCACTACGGCAAGTGCAAGCACTCGCTCGGCATGGCCGTCCACAAGGGCAAGATCAACATCCCGCCCCGGTGGAACATCACGAACATCACCGAGGAGCGCCGCCGCGGCCGGCCCCGCAACGCCAACGGCGGCGGCGCGCTGACCGGCCGCTGATCACTGACCCCGAGCGACGGGCAACCCTGCAATCCTGCAATCCTGCAACTTGAATCCTGCAATCCTGCAATCCTGCAATTCTGAACTTGAATCCTGCAATCCTGCAATCCTGCAATCCTGCAATTTGAATTCTGCAATCCTGCAATCCTGCAATCCTGCAATCCTGCAATTCTATCCGCCGCGGCCGCCCGTCGCACCAGGTCCTTTTTCTTTTCCGATTTTCCCGAATTTTTTCTAAACCTAAAAGCACGACACGTAATTTTCTAAACCCAGAAACATCATTCCCGGGCCTAAACCTGAAAAGCATCCGCTCCAAACCTAAAACAATAGGCATCCCTTGATATCTACGAGAACGCCGAGGTCTTGGGCGTGGAGGTGAAGACGTTCAGCGGCGGCCATGTTCGCTTCATGTCCAAGGCCGAGCTCCAGCGGTACGGCGACGTCATCTTCGTGCACTACGACTGGACCTCGGAACGCGGCGGGAAAAGGGTATCGCCGCGGCCACGGTTCCGGCGCGCGGACACCTGACTCACCCGTGCAGCCCTGAGGCCGCTACGCTCGCCTACAACAACCAGGGCGGCGACCCCAAGCAGAACTAGAACACGGCCGAGGTGTGCCGTACGTATGCGCGCCGCCGCATAAGTTTAAGAATCCTTTTTCCGATCGGACAAAAGACGCTCGCCGAAGCGCGCGCGCGCCGTCCGGACGGCCACTCTTCTCCCGTATCCTCGCGCCTACCTGGCGAGAGGCGCTCAGATCCGGGCCACGCCGCCCGTCAAGGTCGTTCAAGAACCCCTGTATTTTCCCTCCCGTCAACGTCGTCCACAAGGGACGCGTTGCGCGAGTTTTTTATGGAGTTCTCCCCCCAGAAGGTGAAAGACGACTGCCCGTCGTCGTCGTCGTCGATGTTCTCCCGAGCCTCCACCCTTCGTCCAAGTAAGAGCGACTCTTCCCTGCTCGTCACCGCCGCGGGCGGCACGGACGGAGCCACGGCGACACGACGGCTTCAGGCACGCGCGCCGCGTCTCGCTACCCCCGTTCGCCGACGCACACGTTCAAATATCCATACTCTTGAAACGCGCGTCCCCCCCCAGGTCCTCGCCCTCAGCGAGCCGACCTACGCGGCCCGGCCGGACTACATCGAGGCCGTGCAGAAGCACGGCATGGTCGTCGACTGGCGCCTGAAGATCGTCGCGTGGTTCGACCAGCTCGGCGACGCCTTCGACATGAAGCCCGAGACGATCGCGATGGCGACGAACTACCTCGACCGCTACCTGAGCCGGCGCTCCTGCGGCGGCGTGAACCTGCAGCTCGCGGCGACGGCGTCCATCTTCCTCGCGTCCAAGGTCGAGGAGCAGCGGCCGTTCCGGACGTCGGACCTCGTCACGCTCTCGGGCGGGTTGCTCCAGGCCGCGGACATCCGCCTCATGGAGTTGGAGTTGGTGTCGACGCTCCGCTGGTACCTCAACCCGCCGACGATCCACGCGTCCATCCACCAGCTCCTCGCGCTCCTCGGCGCCGCGGAGCGCGACGCCGGCGACGCGGCAGAGTTGGAGGACCGCGCCGTCGCCTACGCGGACCGGTCGCGGTCCGACCTGGCCTTCCTCGCCTTCCCGCCGTCCATGATCGCCGTCGCCGCCGTGCTCTGCGCGCTGCGGGCGCGCCGCGCGGACCCGGCGCGCACGGAGGCGTTCCTCGCCGTCGTGAAAGCGGCGGAGCTGCCCTACGCGACCGCGCCGCGCGCGGCGGAGCGCATCCGCGCCTGCGGCGTCCTCCTCCTCGGCCTCGACGAGGAGGTCGTCGCCTTGGACGACGACGACCTCGAGGTCGAGGCCTACGCGGACCAGACGCACCCGCTGCTGTACTCCGACTCCGAGGAGGACCTCGAGGAGAACCACGCGCCGTCGCCGACGGACGTCATGGACACGGGCCGCATCGCCGACTTCCGGTCGCCGTCGCCCCTCAAGCGCCACAAGTCCGACACCTGGGGGTAGGCCGCGAGACCACGCCGCGGACGACCGGCGCCCGCTCCTCGAAGAGCGGCGCCGGCGGCCCCCAGCGGAGCCAACCGGTACCATCCCCTCCGCGCAAGCCCCCGCCCCCGCCGCCTCGACGCGGCGGACCCGGCGACCCCCGGACGACGCGCTCCCCGACGAGCAGCGCTCCGACGACGCGCGGGCTCGGCGACGCGGTCCCAGTCATTTTCTCTTGGACCGCGCCCCCGAGACCCGCTGCACATATAAACCACTCACTATAACCCAAGCGCCGCCGCGGGCTGGTCGCTTCGGTTCGTCATCGGGGAGCTAGAACGTCATGAGGGAGACGGCATCGAAGGGAAAGACGTAGAAGGTACCGGGGTTTTCAATGTGATAACCTTTGCAGCTAGACCGATTGGCTTTGACGACGTAAAATTTGCCGCAGCATTGCGCCTTCGGATCACGCCAGCCGCAAAAAGCATCGGCCCCGGGCGCCTTCCGCTCGCACAGCCGCTCCACTTTGGCCGCATCGTCGATGACGCGAATCACGGATGTGCCTTCTCGGAGTTCGCGCCACTCGCGCATGGGTGCAAAAGCGATCTTGTCGCCACCGAGGATGGCAGCGACAACGCCGGTGCCCGTGTCGGCGCTTTCTTTCAGGAGCGCGTCCTGCTGAACTTTCAGATCCACGGCCTTCAAAGAGAGCTTGATCTCGGGCGACGACGAGAGCGCGTCGGCGAGCTCGAGGTGGTCTTTCACCGAATTGCAATTCCCTGGTATCTCGCCCGTGGCTATGAGCTTGGCGCTCTCGAGGTGCCACGTCGCTGCCGCGTCGTCGTCGACGCCGCCGTTCTCGATCGCGGACTGGATGAGCGTCCGCGTCTGCTTCGAATCCATGACCGTCTTGTCCATCTCCGCGTTCGTGAGCGGCGACGTAGACTTCGTCTGGAGCCACTGTTCGATGGCCGCGCGCTCGTACACGTGGCCGTCCGAAGCGACCACGGGACGCACGGGAAGGCGATGCGTGATGGGACAGAGGAGATTTTCGAGGGCGATCTGAGCGAGCGACGCCTTCGATTCGGTCTTCGCTTTCTTTGACTTACGCGGGGGCATCTTTGACGGCGCGGGGGTGACGATGCGCGCGTCTGCCGGGGCCGGGTCGCGAACGGCGGGTGACGATGCGCGCGTCTGCAGAGCTGCGCGCGAGTGAGAGAGATGCTGGCTTGTGGGGGCGAATTTTGTAATTTCAGCGACCGAGACAAGTCAGGGACGCGAAGACCGCCAACGCACCACAGACGAACAGACTAGTCGAGCCCCCGCTCCGCGAGGAAGGCGGCGCGCGTCGCGTCGAAGGCGGCCTTGGCGCCGCCGTCCGCGCGCGCGCGCCGGGACCGGTCGCCGCGGTACGACTTGCGCTTCTTGCAGACGAGGATGCTGAGCCAGCGCGCGTCCGGCTCGCCGCCGTCGTCCGCCGGCCGCAGGAGCACGTCGTCGCCGAGGATCGCCCGCAGCTTCTTCGTGGACAGCAGGGGCCGGCACTTGAACATGTCGCGGAGCCCCCGCTCGAACGCCGCGAGCACGGCCTCGTCGCGGCGCTCGAACGCGAGGACCACCGTCGTCCGCGGCCCCGCGACGGCGTCGAGCGCGTCGAGGAACGGCTCCACGAGGTGCGCGTGGTAGACGCAGTCCGTGCCGAGGACCACGTCGAACGCCTCGCCAACGAGCGTCGCCGGGCGGCCGTCGCACCAGTCGTAGGGCACCACCCGGTAGCCGTCGGGCCCGAGGTTCCGCGCGACGTTGTCACGCACGTGGCCGCAGAGCGCCGGCAGGTCCGTGAAGGTCACGCGCGCGCCCCTCAGCGCGTAGGCCATGCCCGCGACCGCGCAGCCGGCGCCGAGCTCCAAGACGGCCCGTCCCGCCAGATCCGCGTCGTCGCCGAGCGCGCCCGCGTCGAGGAGCTTCGCGACGATGATGGACACCTCCCAGAGCATGGCGCCGGGCTCGGACGAGTTGGCGTCCTGCGTCACGACGTAGGTTTTGGAGGTCGTTCGCACGTGCACCTCGCGCCGCAGGTTGAGGGCGCCGGGCTTCCAGTCCTGGTCCTCGAAGTCGGCCATCGGTTTCGGCGCGCACTGGGGCGGCGGCGGGTGCACCGTTCAGCGAACTGGCCCACGAGTCGAGGCGCGGTGAGCTCCTCTACAGATCCATCGCACAGCTCGCCGAGTGCAACGTGCAGCAACGTTTGACGGTGTTTGTAATCGCACCCGTCGAGGTGGGGGGCAGCCCTCTGCGGCGGCGAGGACGCGCAGCGCCGAGCAAGCGCGCGGCAACCTCGGTTCCGGCGGACGCGCGGAGCGACACCGCCCGACGCGTCGGCGCAGCGCGCAGGCGTCGGCAGGCAGGCGTGCGGGCGCCGCGCACTCGACCTTACCATGCCCGGCGAGGGCAAGCACGATGACGACGAGTCCTGCGACGACTCGCTGTCCCTGGCGAGCAGCGCGCCGGAGGCGCCGCCGCCGAAGAAGTCCGGCGCCGAGGGCATCACCGTCTTCCTGCGCATGCGGCCGACGAAGAAGCCGTCCAAGTACTACGACATTTCGGACGCCGAGGGCAAGAAGGGCCAGGCGCTCAAGTGGGACATCCCCGCCGAGGCCGTGACGCGCGACGGCGAGTACATCAACAACACGAGGACGAAGTTCGCCTTCAAGTTCGACTCCATCCTGCCCATGGACATCGACCAGGAGCAGGTCCGCGACCGCGAAGAAAGCGACGGGTGATTGAAACGGCGGGGATCGACGTTCGAGGGGGGGTCCCAGCTCGTGCGTCGAGGGAACGCTGGAACGACCGAGATGGCATCGTCAAACGTTCGAGCGAGGGACCCGTCTCGTGCGTCGAGGGAACGCTGCTCGCCCGTCCCCGAAAGAGCCGACGCGCGCGGGCAACGGCCGGATCGTCCGCCGCAGGTCTTCGACCGCGTCGGCAAGCACGTCGTGCAGAACGCGCTCGACGGCTACAACTCGACGATCTTCGCCTACGGCCAGACGGGCTCCGGCAAGACCTTCACGATCACGGGCGGCTCGGAGAAGTACAGCGACCGGGGCATCATCCCCCGCGCCATCTCCATGATCTTCGGCAAGTTCCGCGAGGACACGAACACGGCCTGGACCGCGCACGCGCGGGCCGGCGCCG